AGGAATGCCTGCCTGGGAACGGGTGATGAGCCAACTGAGAGCTCGCAAGTCAGGATATGGGGGCAAACCAACATGGGTGACATTGTGATGGGTGTCTGTTATGGACTCCCTGACCAGGAAGAAGTAGATGAGGCCTTCTTCTAGCACAACTAATCAAGTTACCAGCAAGGAAAAGGGCTCAGCTGGACCAGATACTTGCAAACAAGGAAAAACTGGTCAAGGACGTGTCAGAATCGGTGGCACAAAGTCCAAATTGAAGCAAGTCACCAGTGGTGTGACTTGGGAGTCAACATGGGGGCCAATACTGCTCAACATGTTTATTAATGACCTGGACAATGGGACCAAACGTCCTCTCAGAATGTTTGCAGATAATAAAAAGCTGGGAGCTGTGGCTGATGCCCCACATGGTTTTCCTGCCTTACAGGTAGATAGCAACAGGCAGGAGAAATAGGCAGAGAAGAATCTCTTGAAGTTCAACAAGGGGGTCCCTTCTAACCCTTAAGATTCTGTCATTCTGTAATTCTGTGAACACATGACTTTCTGGGTCTTCTGGAATGGCATTAGTCATGCTAACCACATCACCAGGGGCCAGGAGCAGGGAGTACAGGTCATGGGGTCCAGGGAGGTGATCCTTCTCCCCTGCTCAGCACTAGTGAGGCCACCTCTGTAGTGCTGGGTCCAGTTCTGGACTCCCCAGTACAAGATTGAAATTGACTTACTGGAGAGAGTCCAATGAAGGGCCACAAAAATGATGAAAGGAATAGAATGAGGAAAGCTTGAGAGAGCTGGAACTATTTAGCCTGGAGAAAGCTAAAGGGAGTCCCATACCAATTGGGAATGAAAGACAAAGAGAGAGTCAGGGCTATTCAAAGTAGCAATCACTGACAGGACAAAAGGCAATGGGCACAAAATAAAACATACAAAATTAAATCTGAACAGGGATATATACTTTTTTTTTTTTCTGTGAGTGTGGTTGAACACTGGAGTAGATTGCCCAGATATGTTGTGGAGTGTCCCTTCTTGGAGACATTCAAAAGGAGCCTGGACATCATCCTAGGCAAGTAGCTTCAGGTGACCCTGCTTCAGCAGGGCTGTTGGACTAGATGACCTCCACAGGTCCTTTTGACCTCAGTCATTTTGTGATTTTGTGAAGTCAAGCTATGACTTGTCCCTTTCGTATCTATGTTGTTTCTAACACTGTGATTACTCTTTTTAGCTTTGTTTCCTGGAGCCTTTAACTGTTGCATGAAAATTTCAGATGAAATTCCCAAAGGAATTCTCCGAAGAGTGGAGAGGTTTGAAATCCAGAAAGCAGATGGCCTGTGTCACCTAGAAGCTGTTATGTAAGAGGAGTTTTGGGTCCTTCACTGTGAAAAAGTACTGTCAAGTTAAAACCTATTAGGCACCATTTAAACAGGATCCTAGAATGCTAACACAAATTGAGTGAAAAACAAGACTGAGTGTGATTTAAGAACTGTCCTTCCTTGTGCTATTTAAATTTCTGACTGCTAAACCTGAATTTCCTTTTCAGTAATAATATTGATCGTTATTCAGCCTGCACTAACTTTGACACTTGCTGTATTTTCAGAACTGAAGAATGACTCATGCACCTTAAGACTTCTCTGGTATTTTCCAACTATTGATCCTCTACAAACCTTGCCTCAACTCAGCTTTACTTCTGTATATAAGTGATTTCAAATTCTTATTATTTTTATTATTTTATTTTTTTTACTGGTACAATAGCACATTGTTTGGGTCAAATTGATCCACTTCAAAGAAGTCCTGGACATTTTTTATTTCTAGACATTTGCATGATGATTATGGCAATAAGGATAATAAATTGATCTACTTATTTATTGGCCATAGAAATGTACAGTTTTGTGCTGTGGCTCGACTCACTGAAGTAGTAAAGCTCTTTCCAGGTTTCAGAAGACAATTGTAATCATGTAAACCTTAGATTCTAGCTTTTACATAGCTGAAACCAAACAAAAGTGATTAGACATAGTATGAAATACAGTTTAAGATTAACTAATTCTAACTTTGTGGTCTTCAAAGGTGTCATAATCATGATAATTTTTTAAAATTAGGGTTTTAATATTTTTTATCTGAAACTTAACAACCAATTTTTGTTCTGGCAGTCTCTACATAGAAGGCAGGAAGTTCTGTGTGAATCCTTGGATTAGAAAAGTTAAAAAATGGATGAAGAAGAATAAGCACAAGATTCCCCCCAAAAAAACTCATGGCAGACATCAGAGAAGAACCAAAATTATTAAAAGGAAACAAAAGAAACAGTAACATGATGAAGGATGCCCCGTGATGAAGATACCTACATGGCACTGCGAACACAGATACCAGACTGCATAACAATGGATGACTGAAGCATTAAAATGACTTTTCAAACATGTATGTGCTAGAGAAAGCAGTGACAGGAAACATCACCTGTACAAAAGGAAGATACTGGTCAGATTACCAACCAAATGATCAGGTGTTCCTGGCAATGTCTTGTAGCAAGTGCTCTGCCATACCTCCTAGTTCTACTGGTAGACTTAAATCTTCCTTAATCACCCCCTGCTTTCATGGCTGCCTCGCCTGTGATTTATATTTTAATGTGCCACATGTGGTTCCTTTTCATTGCCCCCTTTTTCCAGTGCCATTCTTGGTCTCTTCGCTTTCCTGTTTGCAATCATCTTTGTGTTGTTGCCTATTTTGTTTCTACTCTCCCAGTCATGAATCTGGGTTTGGTTTTTTTTGTAATGTTATTTTACAGACACCTTTCCAGGTACTAGTTCAGTTCAAGTTGCCCAAAACCACGTAGAATCCTAGAATCATAGAATATGCTGAGTTGGAAGGGACACATCAGAATCACTGAGTCCTTCTCCTGTCCCTGTGTAGGGCTCCCCAAGAATCACACCCTGTGCCTGAGAGCATCATCCAAAGGCTTCCTGAACTCAGGCAGGCTTGGTGCTGTGACCACTTCCCTGGGGAGCTTGTTCCAGTGCTCAACCACCCTCTAGGTGAAAAACTTTTTCCTGATATCCAACCTAAACCTCCCCTGGTTCAGCTTCCTGACATTTCCCCAACCTGTCACTGGTCACAGAGTTTAGAGATCAGGACCTGCCCCATCTCTTCCCCTCATGAGGAAGCCATAGACTGCATTGAGGTCAGCCCTCAGCCTCCTCTTCCCCAAGCTGAATAATCCAAGTGACCTCAGCCACTCCTTATAAGTCATTCCATTTCAGATCTTTCACCATCCTTGTGACTCTCCTTTGGACACTCTCCAATAGCTTGATGTCCTTTTTACATTGTGGTGTCCAAAACTGCACCAGTGGCCACACCAGTGCAGAGCAGAGTGGGACAATCACCTCCCTTGACCGGCTGACAATGCTCTGCTTGATGCACCCCAGGACACAGGTGGCCCTCCTGGCTGCCAGGGCACGCTGCTGGCTTATCTTCAGTTTGCCATCAACAGGACCCCCAGGTCCCTCTCCACTGTGCTGCTCTCCAGCCACTTGTTTCCTAGCCTGTACTGATCACCAGGTACTGACCACCAGGTGCAGAATCCAGCACTTCTGCTTGCTAAACTTCACGTGGTTATCTTTTACCTATTCCAAATAATCTCTGCTCCCAGCTGCTATTATCACAAAATACCATTTCAGTGATAATAACAGACCCTGTTCATCAGGCTTAAAGTGGCAGGCAAAGCTATACAATGAAAATAATCTTTATTGCTTTTGTTAATTTGGTTCCCTAATCAAATAGTTCATCTAGATCCTTTCTATCCTCTTTGCTGAATTTCTCATAATTAGTGTTGAGGATTGCATGTGTCCATCAAGGCCTTTCTTTGAAGACTAACCATGATGGCAGCCTGCTTACCCCCTCCACAGCTTCCCTCCCAATATAGAGCACTGGCTTCTCCTGTGTGGCACTGTCTCCAACTCCCTAATGTAATATTTCCACAAAGCTATCTCAATCAAAGACACTTTTCCCCAGAGACACATATGAGGAAAGGACAAAATGAAGGAAAAGAGGCATCTGAAAAAGATAAAGTGCCATAGAATTTATATTTAAAATACTTACCTACTGAGCCAAGAATACCCAATATAGCAGCTTAATTCTGTTCTTCCTCCTCTCCCTCTACTAATTACCTCTTTTTATCATTCACTGCATTTGACCGAAATTAGCTCCTCAGTGTTGCCTCTTGTATTTGTTTTGTAACTGTTATGTCTAACTACACATTGCAAACATGGGAGAAAGCACAGCAGATGACAGTAGAAGAAAACAGAAGCAGTGGCTGACACATTCCCTATAAAAAATAAACACCTGTTGCCAGGTCACTGAAGTATACTCCCACAGACATGCTGATGAAAGAAACCAACTCCTTCCAAAACAGATCAGAGAAAACAAGAAACGTAATTATATTTTCTGATGAGCCAACAGCCTCCTAACAGGGATGAGGCAACTCATCTGCCTCATCTTCCAGCCTCTAGGGAACACAGTGTACACTGCAGACACTGGCATGGCTCCATTCCTTGCTGAAGCCTTCTTCTAGGAGCAGGAGCTGAGATTGCTCTGATTCTCAGTACCCACAGAAGCTCTTCCTCCCGAATGCTGTATTCAGTGTGCTGGGCTGGCAGAGGATGTGACCCCTGGCTAGTACAAGCTGAAATGGCACGTTTTCCACCATTTCCTTCACACTCTGCTGCTGCACTGCCTGGACACCACATGGACATAGCAAATGTGTGCGAAGACAGAACCCAACCCTCCTGGGCCCAGGTCAGCAGAACACCAGGAATACTAAATTGCTGAAATATTTTACACCATGGTATCAGTATCTCACTGTTTCTGGAAGTTCTATGTACTGTCTTCCTCATGTTTTGCTCTGGATTCCAGAGCAAATTTACCTTCACATTTCCCTCTTGAGTCACAGATTTCTGTGTGGGCTTATGATGGCATCTCAGCTCTTCATAGCTTTTCCATCAATGCAACCAATGGCCTTTGAAGTCTTTAGAGTGTACCCTAAGCATCAAGTAAAGTATGGCGTGTACTCTAATTTCCATTCGTGTTCCATCAGAGGTATTCAACATTCAACAGGATTAGAGCTAAGCAGCTAACTTTCAAGGCTGACCCAGGCATGTCCAAGGCCCTTCTGAACCATCTGACTGTTGCACTTGCAGAATCATTAAATAATTGCTGCTTAGTAAAGGCAAGTCAGAAAAGCTTGGGAGATTAGCAAAATAAGGGAGCAAAGTAAAGCTGACACTATGGGTAAGAAAAAGTGAAAGTGAAGCTTTAGATGAGACCTCAGCAGTGCTGCCATGAAGAATGGGAACTTCTGGATACTTAGACTGTTCTGGGAAAGGAGGTCCCTGTTGGATTAGGCACGGGCTGCTGGGAAGCTCCACACAATCCTGGCTTGTAGACCTGTCTGCTGCCAGTGGTAAGAATGCAGCACAGCTCATTCTCTTCTCCTTACAGTCTTGAGAGCAGCATCTGCTTCCTAGTGGTGACCTCTTTTTGCATCATCAACTTTCCTGACCCCCATATCCTACATTCGTATCTGTTCAACAGTTGCTGCTTCATATTTGAAATTATAACATTGCTGCAGTTCCACCTCTTCTGCATATTGTATTACACTGGATTTTCAGGGCAAGGCTTAGATAGTGGCAGGGCCACAGGAGTGACTTCTGTGAGAGAAGCTGATGGAAGCTTCCCCCGAGTCTAGTGGAGCCAATGCCAGCCGACTCCCAGATGGACCTCCAGCCAAGGTCAACCCACCACGTGTATAAAAGCAGCAAAGTGTGATCTAAGTGCATTTTTATAGTTTTTAATATACGATGTCACAAATATTTTAGGACCCAGCCAGATCTACAACTCAAATACCATTGAAATAGTTGCATTTACTGCACCTACTTTAAAACACAGGGTTCGATAATTTTGTTTACATCTTCTAGTTCTTCAGAGTGTGTGTTCTCTCATGTCAGAGAGTCTCAGAGACTACAAGAAGACAGAAGTCCTCCCCCAGCTGCCAACCGAGTTTTAAGTTTGGGTTCCTGTGCAGTTTTCTGGCAACTGAATTTGAAATAACTTCTACTAGTCATTCAGTCTAAAAAACCTTCTTCTCTGATATTGGTATAAAAACAGTATTTGAAAGATCTGTATCATCTAGAACAGTTTCATTTATCTCTGAACCCTGACACACAAACATGTACAAGTAAAACCTTTCAGTTTCCAAACCTCCACTTGGGTGATGTCACACTCTCGTACCTGAGCATTTATGTTTGACCTTTGCTATCTTGTACTTGGCAACAAAATGAAATCAATACTTTTTTTCAGTAAAGTCATCTCAACATCTTGTTTTGTGGAAGAGATTATTACAGTACATGACTTTGTTTTCCCTGAAAAGTCTGGCTAAAACTCTCCTTTCAATGTGTCCAGGAGCCTGAAGATGTAATTGTCTGTGTCTGAAAACCCCAGTATTTTAGTGACTTAGAAGCATAGGCCCTACTGAATTAAATTCAGATTATGCCTGTCATTAATACTCTGGGAAATGTCAACAAATTCACTTGTATAAGATTTTAAGAAACAGCTTTAATCATCTGGCTGTTTAATTTATTTTAGGAGTTATTAACTTAACCTAGTAAGACAGTGCCTATCCCTCTAGGAGACTTCAGGAAAAAAAGCCACAGACAGAATTGCTGAAGAATTACCAAACAAAAGCAAACAGCCTACTGGATCTATTCAGACAAAGCCAGCACCCTAAATTTGATACGCTGGCTTAAAACTAGAAGTAAAGGAGAGTCATGGGACAGCACACCCATTTCTTTCAAAGCAGTGCTAGATAAAGTGACCCCACCCTGTTTTCCATGTCTGAAAAACGGCAAGAGACACACTCAAATTCAAAACCTTATCAAAAGAGGCTGGATTTTAACAGAGAAAGAGGAAGTGACATCTCTCTAGCAGCATCTGAGCATGTTTCTGCTCCAAGCTTATTCTGAGTTATCCTGAGTTTCTTTGTTAAGCACCATCTTCATGAAACGGACTTAGAATCACAGAATCATTAAGGTTGGAAGGGACCTCAAAGATCACCCAGTTCCAACCCCCTGCCATGAGCAGGGAACCCTAACACTAAATCAGGTTGCACAAAACCTCATCCATCCTGGCCTTAAACACCTCCAGGGATGGGGCATCAGCAACCTCCCTGGGCATCCCATTCCAGTTCCTCACCACCCTTATAGTGAAGAATTTCTTCCTAATATCTAACCTAAATATCTCTTCTCAGTTTAAAACCATTACCC